GCTTTCAAAACGCGGTGTCGGCGCTACTTAAACGGAATTAAAGTCTAACCATTGGAATGGGGCAAAAAGAAAAACCATTCAACGCCCCATATAGAATTCGTAAAATGTACCTAGACAGTTAAAATTCAAAGTAGGTGCAATTTCTCCTCCATACCAATATGAAATGAAATGAAATGGGGTTTAACGTCCTACTGTTCTGCTCCTATACTGGGCTAATGAAGACGGGCATACGCCATACCCTGTGCTATGAGGGAAATTTTGCCCGGGCAGCGGCACTATCGCCTACTCTTATATCGAATTCCAACTGACAAGAGATCTTTACGTGCATTCTAATGTATACACGGGACCTCGGTTTTTCGTCTCATCCGAAGGACTAGACAGCTGTCCGTGTCAGGCCCTCCGTTCTGCATCACTGACAAGGGGAAACCACGTCGGAAAATCAGGATGAACTTTCTCAGCCAATGCAGGGATCGAACACCCGACCTCCAGGCTAGCGAGCCAGCGTCTTAACCACCTAGCTATCGTGGCTCCAGAAATGAAAAGAAATAACGTCTGTTAGTCACAAAACGACCCCAATATCTACGATCATATTTTAACCAATCTGATTCAAATACAGATCTGTATTTCGTTTAGTTTTACTTTCGATGGCCGGTTGTAGTGGGCGGTCGCGTCAGGGATCACAAGAGCGGCTTTTGAATCTATGACGTCAGATATTTGATTCACCATTCAGCGTTGATGTTTCTAGTGGAATGCCCGCAGTTCCGTGTACAAAACACCAAGCATTCGCCATAACAGACCGTTTCATTGGCTAATTCGTCATATCAAACAGAACGCGGGTAATATAACAACTCTCCCAGATCCTAGTGTAGAAAAGAAATGAAAAACGAAATTGTGAACTATAAAAATCGAAACGAAATAGGATCTGTGTTTTGATCAGATTTTATTTTAACGTACATGTAAACATCAAATATCTCGATTATACAACAGGGGATTCACGGTGACTAAGTGGGTAAGACGCTGGCTAGCTAGCCTGGAGGTCGGGTGTTCGATCCCTGCATTTGCCGAGAAAGTTCATCCAGATTTTCCGGCTTGGTTCCTCCTTGTCAGTGATGCAGGACGGATGGCCTGACAAGGACAGCTGTCTAGTCGTTCGTATGGGACGAAAAACCGAGGTCCCGTGTACACATTGGCGTGCACATAAAAGATCCCTAGACAGTTGGAATTCGATATTTGAGTAGGTCGTAATGCCGCTGTCCGGGCAAAATTTCCCTCATAGCACACTGTATGCCCGTCTTCATTAGCCCAGGTTAGGATCAGACTAGTAGGACATTAAACCCCATTTCATTTCATTTCATTTCAAAGCGATTATACAACATCCGCTGTCGTCTATGAATAATTAGTCATGCATATATATATTGTTTTGCACTAGACTATAAATGAATTTGATAAATATAAGGCTAATAACATCACGCGCTGTATAAATTATCATGTTAATGGAGGCTAAGTATATGAATAATAAACAAACGCAAATATAAAAATGTTTTAAGTCTGGATATTTAGTAAGTCGATCAGTTCTGCAGCTGGAGCCTGCCCCCCCCCCCCCCCCACACACATCCAACCCCCAACCCCCAACACCCACCCAACATACACACACAACACAATATAAAAACTACTTCTAAATAGGCTTAATTCGGGGTTTTACGTAGGGGAAATCGTGTCCAGCGTCTTGTATCTCTATGTTCAACGACTAAATATGTTTAACCCACATGAAACCGACCGGGATAGAAATGAAATGGGGTTTAACGTCCTACTTTTCTGCCCCAACTGGTCTAATGACGAAGAGCTTACGTCATACAGTGTGTTGTATAGATATTAGCTAAAGAATTCGGTTAGTTAAAGGCATTACATTTTGTATTGGTGTTAGAAAAAGTTTTAAATACGTTTTTTAGGTAAAATATATCAGAATTCTAAAACGTTGAATTAACTCTAGCTTACTACCATAACATAAATCACCATGTGTCGTGTACTGATAAGAACAGTGTTTATTGGAGCAGTTAATCGCCAATAACTTTTATTGTTAATTTATTCATTTATATATTTATATACTGCTATCTTACATAACATTATTTTATTGTAATATTGATCTGAAATGAGTTTACATAATATTACTAAAATTCCGATCAAGGGCGGTTCGATCCCGAGCAAAGTTCATCGGGTTTTCCAGCGTGGTTTCATCTTGTCAGTGATGCAGGACGGGGGTCTGACAAGGACAACATCAGTCTAGTCGTTCGGATGGGACGAAAAACAGGTCCCGTGTCCACAGATAAGATATCCCTTGACAGTTGGAATATAAGAGTAGGCCGTAGTGCCGTTGTCTGGGCACAGTTTCCCTCATAGCACACTGTATGGCATATGCCCGTCTTCATAAGCCCAGTTGGAGCAGAACAGTAGGACGTTCAACCCCATTTCATTTCTAATGATACGCCCTGCAGGGATACGCCCCGCAATACCAATGGCATTGTTGCCTTCTCTCCACCAATAACCACTGTCAAGGACTGGGCCTGTACAAGCCAATGACATTCGACCGGAAACAACACAGGAACTTGCTCGGACAATATCCGGGTTGAATCAGGACCCCCTGGTTTGTGACCCAATGACCAACTCGGTGAGCCCTCCAGCAATAAATAAAATACCTATTTATTTGTGCGTGTGTCTTTGATTTCAACCCGCAGCAATTTTTATGGTTTGCATTTTCTTTTGAAGTGGCCACGGGGGTTCTTATTTAAACAATTGACTGATGTAATAAGTCTATTAGTAGAACCGTTTGATCGGAGTTAAAATTAACCATATTGATTAGACTTGATCATTCCTGTTAATTTACGTTGCGAGATAGATAACTTACTAATTGAACGAAATTTGCGTTCGAAGATTAACATCCGAGAGATATAAAAAATTGGTAAATGAAATTAAATGAAATCGAGTTTAACGTCCTACTGTTCTGCTCCGACTGGGCTATTGAAGACGGGCATACATTGTGCTATGAGGGAAATTTTGCCCGGCCAGCGGCACTATGGCCTACTCTTATATTGAATTCCAACTACCATGAGATCTTTTACGTGCACGTCAATGTATACACGGGTCCTCGGTTTACGTCACATCCGAACGACTAGACAGCTGTCCTTGTTAGGTCCTCCGTAATGCATCACTGAGAGGGGGAAACCACACAGTAAAATGACGTGGTAAATGAAATTGGGTTTAACGCTTTCATTTTCTACATCAAACGATATAATGCAGATGAAGTAGAACATTCAGTGTAGTATGATTGGCAGCTAGCACGTTCTTCATCGAATTACAACTGTCCGGGGTTCTTTTGCGTGCTCGTTAACATGCACAAGGGACGTTGGTTTTCTGTCTAATCCGAAGAACTAGACGCTGTCCCTTTACCACTGACAACAGACAATTGAACTCGGATCCTCTTGGTTAGTGGGCTTGGGTTACCAAATGGTTAACGCGTGCGCGTTGGACCATAAGGTCAAGTGGCGTGGTGTAGAGTTCCCACTTGTACGTGACAAGGAGTAGGGTCGCCTATCCAACCTCGTGGGTTTTCTCCGGATCCTCCGGTTTTCCTCCACTGCTAAAGACCCTTGCACGATAGCCAATTGTTAAAAAAAATTGGACCATATGTTAGTACCGAAATTGCCTAGTTTGTGTCGAGTGGACGTTACACCCCATTTTTCTCTCTATGCTCTAGGCTAATGAGCCAGTGCCTTACCCGCTGCGAAATCCTGGCTCACTAACAGGAGTAGCATACAACAATACATTGTCTCAATTATATATCAAAAGCCAAAATGTTGAGAGAGAAAAAAAGCAATCGCAAAATAAATAGGAAAATCATCACTCAGTATATGATTGTTCACCCAGCTAACATCGTTTTGTTGTACTTTTGAGTTGAGTACATTTGTCTTTCTATTCACTAATTACCAACAATTTATTTTATCTACGTGTATATATCGTGCCAAAATTGACGAGAAAAGCTTCTGGCAGACACTGAACACCTTATCAATAGCATCAATGGCGTATTCCCACAACACTCTAGCACGGTTACATTCTGTGTGTTACGGTTATGAAATCAGTTTATCTGTCCTACTGCCCATAATTAATATAAAAAAAATACGGTTATCATATAGATCTACAATTGTTAATGACATAACAAGTAATAAAACCGTTATGCTTTCTGATATTCCTCTAAAAACATTGCTCTAATACATACTCAGTGTTTACGTAGATATCGCGATATGAACAAGTTAGAGAAAACGCTAACCACAGTGTGACCGTATTTTGTTTCATCACAGACTTGAATAATTATGCTACATTCCGTTTTTTGTGACCTTTCCTATTGTTATTGAATTGTGGATAGTTCATATAGATTCAACAACAAGCTCTAACGATGTCTAAGGTTGAATTGTACGCGACAACGTTTTAAAATATCATAAAAAGATATAGCACGTACACAAAGGTTAAGAGCTACGGTAAAAAATCCTCGTGATCAATTAAGACTGTTACAATTTCTTTTACAAATTTTGAAACGTAGAAGTATAATGTTTTAAGTACATGCCCCTGAATAGCATATATCACGGGATGTTCTGATATACAAAATGAATGGTTCAGAGGGGCATACACTCAAATTGTAATTCATCCCATCTTCTCAGCTAATGAAGACGGACATATGCCATACAGTTGATTATGGGGGCAATTATGCAGTGTTTAATGAACTCCTAAAGTTAATCATGCAAAAGAATACACGTGACCACGGTTTATTGTTCCATTCGAACGACTAGACGTTGTTCAGTGCCAGATTATCCCTCGTGCACCACTGACAAAGTAAATCCAGAAGAGCCTTCTCGCCCAACACCCGTGAAGGCGAACCAGAGACCTCCTTGTTGGCGATCCAGCATGGAAACTCGGTGAATAGATCATTAGTAATATTATTTCTAACTTACCAGTGAATTCTTTAGATTTTCTTGATATCGTACTAAAAATAAGCCCATAAGCTGTACCTATAATCACGAGCGGTATCATAAACATTAATAGCAGAGATGATATGGAGTACACCTGTCTTTGCCACATTTTAGCGTAAGACCCCATCGTAACACACTGGTAGAATTCCTGTTTAAATGGACCTCGTCTAACGTTAAATATAACAGCCTGAAACAAATAAATACACAAATAAACAATCGATTATAACACGTTGTCTAATTAATTAAAGGAAAACAGTTTATGTTCACTTGTTGTTTGTTTTGGGGTTTTGTTTTTTTTTTTTTTTATTTTGTTTTTGTTGGGGATTTTTTTGTTTGTTTTTTTTGTAGTGTTTTGTTTGGGTTTGTATGGTTCGTTAACAAATTAAAGACATTTACAGATGGCCCGATGGTGTTGAGTGGACTACAAAACTATCTCGAAATTGCTTCGATTGATCCACAATCTGCCCCCACCTCCTAACTCTTAAATGTATCGTCAAGGATCGCGTGTTTAATCATAATTAACTTATACGAGCTGACGATACATAAAGTAACAAATGATATTTCAATTAGCCTCCACGACCCAATCGTTCTGATAAATATACATTTCTGAAGAAATGTGTCGAATCTACTCCCACGTAAACAAAAACAACAATTTAATCCCTATCGCGTGTTTTGGACAATTCAGATTTACAAAGGATTAGGTGCAGCTGGAGCATTGAATAAAAAAAAAACATATTTTAGTCTGTGACCTTCCTGTGATAGAAAGACAACTGTGATGTACTATTTCTTCTTGAAGTGGCATTTAGTAATTGAACAGTAACACACTAACAACTATTAATGGAATAACAATTACTGATTTATTGACATGCAACTATCGACATTGATACTCTCGTCTTGATCAAACATATGATGCCCTATATTTGACTTTCTATATACCGTAGAGAGAGAGAGAGAGAGAGATGGAGAGAGTGAGAGAGAGAGGGGGGATAACGGCCATTCGACACAAACTAGGTTATTTCGGGACTAACATATGGTTCAATTTGGTTTCAATAATTCGCTTCCGCTAGGAGTCTTTAGCAGTGGGAGGAAACCGGAGGATCCGGAGAAAACCCACGAGGTTGGACAGGCAACCCTACTCCTTGTCACGTACAACCACGCCAGTTGACTCAATGACAGACCTTATGATACAGCGCACACGCACTAACCGTTCGGCTATCCGACCACCCACATTAATCGTGAGTCCAATGATATCTTGAATGTGGTATAATTATTTTTATGATATCTATTTTCTTGGTGTGATTGGTTGAAACCAGATACTGCTGGGTGTCAAACCACGCCTCCGTACCCCAAGTACCAGGCTTGAGTCTACGATTATTTTAAAAGTGGTATTCGAATTAGATGTAAAAATATCTTAGTGCGACTGGGCCAAACCAGATACGGTGTCGAACGCCACACCTTCCCCCAAGTTCACCGTAGAGCACCTGCCGTTACTAAATATGATCAAGTTACTTATAGAGACTGAATTAAATAATATGAAACCGACCTAGTGATTATTTTATATAATATGATAAAATTCATATTAATAATATCTATTATAACAGGTCTTTAACCTCAAACATTATGACAATGGATAAACCACCTGTTATTTCCTGCACCCAAGTCGAGTTTTTTTATCTATTGAGTGAGGATTTTAAATATCTATTAATGTCTACTCTGGCATTATCGTTTGATCCAGTAGCTACACAGATGTTTCGGTTTATCCAGTCCCTGTTATTCTTGTAAGAGAGTGTTGTTGTTATCCCTCTCCTTTCCGGGGGGTGGGGGGTGGGGGGTGGATGGCCGAATGGTTAGCACGCGCGCGCTGTATCATACGGTCTGCCATTAAGTCAACTGGCGGGGTTTCGATTCCCCTGTTGTACGTGACAAGGAGTAAGGTTGCCTGTCCAACCTCGTGGGTTTTCTCCGGTTCCTCCGGTTTCCTCCGGTTTCCTCCCACTGCTAAAGACCCCTACGCGCAAGCGAATTATTGAAATAAAATGAAACCATATGTTAGTCCCGAAATGACCTAGTTTGTGTCGAGTGGACGTTAAACCCCATTTCTCTCTCTCCCCCTCGCCTTTCCTAATATATGTGTTCTCAGCGAGATTGGAGAGCTACGCGATGGCTCAGTGTGTAAGAAGCAGGCTCGCTAGTCTGGAGGAGGCCGCGGGTTCGATCCTGGTGTTGGGCGAGAAAGTTTATCGGGATTTTAGGGCTTGGTTTCCGCTTGTCAATGATGCAGGAAGGAGGGCCTGGCAAGGACAATTGTCTAGTTGTTCGGATGGTATGAAAAACCGAGGTCTTGTGTACACATTGGCGTACAGGTAAAAGATAACTTGACAGTTGGAATTCGATATAAGAGTAGGCCGTAGCGTCGCTGTCTGGGCAAAATGTCCCTCATAGCACACTGTATGGCGTGTGCCCGATTTCATTAGCCCAGTCGGAGTAGAACAGTAGGACGTTAACCCCTATTTCATTTCAGTGAGATTGATAATGCCTCTTGCAAATTTACATGGCGTTATCATTTCATTTATTAACTGACTTTCTTAAAATAGTTGATGAAAAGACCTGTTTACAAAACGTTTTATTTAAAAAGTTTGAAATTAACCTTTTAAAACGCATGCTGACATGCAATATCTATGCTACTGTATTTATTTTCTTCACTCAGGCTATTTTAATGTCTTTGTTTTATCGCATGGAAAGAGTATCTATTTTTTTTTTACAGGTACAAATTAATGCAAAACGCCATTGCGGCATAAAACGCAATATTTTAATCAAACGATAACTAAATGTAATATTTATCATGCTTCACCTGTATAATTATAATATCATGCGACACGCAATAACAACATCGCTTTAATTTGTATAACATTTAAACTCGTTACTTTTTAAATGTTTTAAGCAAAATCTATTGGGATTTCTGTGCTTTTTGTTACTCGATGACGTCATAAGAACTACAGTAGAACGTACAGTGAACTACATACAAAGAGGCAGTGTTTAACGTCCACTCGACTAAACAAGCTCATTTTGGGACTAACACATGATGTAAATTTACTTCAATAATATCCTTGTGCGTAAGGATCTTCAGCAGTGGCAGAAAAAGGATGACCCGGATAAAACCCCTCGATTGAAGGAGCGACCCTACTACTTTTTGCTTTGTAAACAATATTTTATTTGAAACGGATGAAAACGGGCCAGGGAACGAGGCATAGCCTATATATTACCCCTCTCCTCATACAAGGAATATATAACATATAACATAAGAAAACATATAAAGTAGATAAGTTATATACACACTATTTATAACAAATGAAAGAAGAGAGAGAGAAATGGGGTTTAACGTCCACTCGACACAAACTAGGTCATTTCGGGACTAACACATGGTTCAATTTTATTTCAATAATCCGCTTGCGCCTAGGGGTCTTTAGCAGTGGGAGGAAACCGGAGGACCCGGAGAAAACCCACGAGGTTGGACAGGCGACTCTACTCCTTGTCACGTACAACCGGGGAATAGAAACTCCGCCAGTTGACTCAATGACAGACCGTATGATACAGCACAGCGCGCACGTTCTAACCATTCGGCCATCAAACCCCCCAACAAATGAAAGAAGATGTGCTAGTTAATAACATAATTTAAATTTGATATTGAAACGTCTGGTGACATCAAAGCATTCATGTATTATTTTAAAAAAATGTTATTGGTATGCCAAATAGGAGTGGTTTAATTGATTGTGTTTTTTCGTGCATCTGAATAAAATGGGCACTACTTGATTCAATGATACCCGTTAGAACACTCGGCTTCTCTTAGGAAGCATAAATTTTCATCGACTGGATAAAAAAAAAATATATTTTAATGTTTCACATTTTACGTCATGTCTTAAAATGATTCCCAATCTTATCGCGTAGCCATAAATAGAGATTTTTGTTTCGGCAGATAACCCACCCACTAAATAAAAAAGAAGTTTCAAAAAGCTCAAAATAAATTCAAGTTTTATTTAAGCTCTTTCCTTTACGTCATCGTTACATTAAAATTTAAAATAATTATCGGGCTGATTCATTCGTACAATGATTTCGAAAAGTAAAAGATGTCGCCATATTTTGCAATATTAATTACAGAAGATACATATCTTTACCAGCGATAAAAGCCTCGTACACAATAAAAAATATCTAAAAAAGATGAATGCTAAATTGGTAAATATCTCAGATTCTTCATATATAGATGTTTGAAATATGAATAACTTTTTTTTGAACTCCTACGTAATCTTTTCTTGTGTATCCCAAGACGGAAAGGAAATGAAATGAAATTGGGTTTAACGGTCTACTTTCCTGCCATGTATAAAACGAGAGAGAGGGAGGGGGGGGGGGTTTAACGTCCACTCGACACAAACTACATGTAGGTCATTTCGGGACTAACATATGGTTCAATTTTATTTCATTACTTCGCTTGCGCGTAGGGGTTGGATAGGCGACCATACTTCTTGTCACGTACAACCGGGGAATCGAAACAACGCCATTTAACTCAATGACAGGCCTTATGATACAACGCGCACGCCATCCAACCCTCCACGCCATGTATATGTGTGATGTATCAGTGTTTTCAGCTACGCGTTATCGCATGCCAAGTGTCGTGGGATCTTGTGCGTGCACGCAACATGATTACGTAAGAGTACACGGTTGACTTGAAAACAGATCAACGATATATAATTATTTAATTATTTTCTCTAAACAATGGAGTCGCCTACAATTAATGAAAATGTAAATATATCCACGTCATCAACCTCTTCCCGGATCACGATGGCTAACTGGATCAGTTGTTCCATCTTATATATTTTAACTCATCAGTCTCATTTGGCACACCTCACCAAACTTCAGTACCCTACATCTACCCTCGTCTGTATGACGAATTCCCAGGTTAGAAATGGCGGCGCCCATGAAGACGAACGTGAAGAGTGTTTTATGACGGCTGTGAAGAATGTTTTATGACGGCTGTGAAGAGTGTTTTATGACGGCTGTGAAGAGTATTTATGACACCTGTGAAGAGTGTTTTATGACACCTGTGAAGAGTGTTTTATGACGGCTGTGGAGAGTGTTTTATGACACCCGTGAAGAGTGTTTTATGACGTCTGTGAAGAGTGTTTTATGACGCCC